GGAAACATACTCCCCAGCAGGTACTTTTTATTTTAACAGATACAAAACTATTAATGGCTCATTATCCTTTTTTTTAACCATAGATTATTTTTCACTATTTTTTTTTGACTAGGAGATTTCTGCTTCTCTACCAAAGAAGTATGCCAAATATTTAAAACCTCTCTAAAAAATAAATAAAATCTTGTTTCAAAATAAAGATTTTCGGAGAACTTCTTTGTAAAAAGCAAACCATTGCATTTTCAGTGTCTTTTTGTTAGCAAGCCCTAATAGAGCAACTCAGCAGTAATTGCTATTTTATAATCTCCTGAGTATTGAACTATTTATTATGCAAATTAATACTCTTTGGAGTATGCATCCGACTAGCCACTGAGTTCTTTTTGTTTACATATTTTACTTTCGCAGCTTTTGCCCGTCAGTGTTAAGAGGCATCTTGATATTTGCCAATTGAGCATCAACAGATTTCTGCCAGACACGTAGCAGCTACACTTCGTGTCTTTGTTTTTCAATTAAAGAAAGACATATGGAAGATTTGCAAAATAGGAGGAAACCATTTTTTGGTGACAGCTAGAAATTCTCTTTGGCAGACTTCCATCTCATCGTGGTTACAGAGCCCTAGGACCAGAGTATGATGCCACAATCCACAGCAGAATGTGGTGGTTTAAGATGAATTAGGTTGAACCATGCAAAATTGTCATTTTGACCCAATCTTTGTGGATTAAAAATGGCCAAATATTCCAATTTGGTATGGTTCAACTGAACAGCTGCTGTATATAGGTTCCTTCCTCAGATGAAGTTCTACAGAATAGACCTCTTCAGGAAAATGCTCTACAGGTGACCCCCAGGAGCTATTTCCTAAATTTGGTAAAACTTCATAATACATTATTTATTTAATTTCAATATATTCTACCAAATCGTTTCATGAAGGGCAGACTTGATGAACCTGTGTTCCCTCTTAGAACAGATGTCTTTTAAATCCTTTATGGCCCTTCTTCTCCCAGGAGGAACTGGGCCCATCCTAGCCCCAGAAACATCAGTAAGGGGGTCAAGGAAGCCCCCCTCCTGGGCCAAAGTTTGAGGGAGTCAATAAGGAACAATAGTCTGAATGTACACAAATATATTGACCATCTTAACGATTGGTTCATGATCACCACATTGGCTCCAAAATCATTCCACCGTGCATTTGTGTGAATACACCCACAAGGTTAGCAGGGTAGATTATCATTTCTATTTTACAGATTAGGAAGCTAAAGCTCCAAGACAGCAAGCAATCAACTCAGGGTCCCCAATGAGTTGGCAATGGCATATCTAAACTAGAACTCTGTTCTGTCCCATGGTGGATTTCACTGCGAGATAATATTTGAACATACAGGATACTAGGCAGAAGTTCCCTCCAACTTGTTCCCCTGGTACTCCTCTCCGTCCTTCCTCTCTTTAGTGCCCTGCCCACATGCTAAAGCAGTGAGAGGACTTGGTGTGGTGGGCTGGCGATAACTTCACAAAGAGTCAAGCACTTCTCTGCTTCTGTGACGAGTCAATGGCAGAACAAGACAAAACAAAAACAAAAACATATTCCTTTGGCGAGAAAAGAGGGTGAGACAGAAATGAAGCACTTCATAGATTTCATGAGAACAGACATCTAGAATCTTTGTGTCAGCGTGGGGCAAGAAGAGAGAGAAGGAAAGATCCATCCTCTTTGGCAGAGAGAGCTATAGGGTTATTTCTGGGCTTTATTTTCACCACAACAATGTGAGCTGAGCATGCCCCGTGGACAAAGCCCAGTGAGACAAAGGAAATCTCCCTCTCTCTCTCCCTCTGTCTCTCACTGACCTTAAGAAATGTACAATCTGGATAAGCTTGGACAAATAAAATGAAAAAAAAAATTCATGGCAGAGAAACATGAGTGTTAATATGGATGTTCAAATGCTTGGAATGATAGTTGTCATAAGAGATCAGCTATAAAAACCTTGAGTAGAAATTGGCCCTCAAAAAGCTAGGAATTCTAAAGAGATGCTTAAAATTTCATATGAATGCCAAACACTGGAGCCGAATAAGATCAATACAGCACACTTCTCTTTGAGAAAAAGTGCTTACCTGTTGAGGTGCCAAGTGGCCTGGATATACCTAGCAATACTTGACTTTAAACTCTATTCATCTAGTTCCACCATAACCTAAGAGTCAATAAAAATAACCTGAATTTGTGTAACTTTCTTCTGCAGACTCAAAGAAGAACATGAGAAAATGGCAAAATGTGTTTAAAAATAAAGTCCATCCTTTCTATAAAAAAAAAATGCTGAGACAAATATTTCTACCCCAAAGCAACCTTTTATTTTTGCAGTGTTGTGTAAAATGCTCATCATATGTCATAGGTAATCAAATCAATTTGAAACCAGTTAATCCTAAAGGCAAAAGACAGTTGTCACGATGCATAACTTCCTGTACATAAAATCATTTTTCTTAGAATACTCATTTTTTGTGACTCCTCTGTTCCAATTGTCCGGTTGAACCATACCAAATTGCAAAAAGTCCCTGACTTTTTGTGCTAGATCAGTTTGTGGGGCTGTGTATATGTGGACATGGATACTGAAACTAATCTTACAGAAAAGCAAGATGTGAGAGCTTAAGGTAGATATGAAATTTGTTTAGAAGATGGTCTTGTCCTGTCTGTAAAAACTCAGAAATCAGGCTTCCAAAGCCTGCAGAGGAAGCCACCCTTGACCTTTCCAGATTGATTTCTGAGTGGGCACAGAGTAAATGGGGGGTAGAGGGTAAAGGACGCCCAGCCTGGGCCCAAGTTTGAGGGAGTCAATAAGGAAAAATGGTCTGAACATACAAAAACATATTGACCATCTTAAAGATTGGTCCAAGAACTTCATGTGGGTCTCCTTTTTGCAACCGGATATGCAGATAGCAGGAAATATGGACTTTAAATATTCCAGACAAACTGAGACCAACTTCAGGTCTTGATAAACAGAGAATATCCAATAACTGAAAATATCAAATGTATGTAAAACAACTAGAAATATATTTATGCTTTAAATATTTTTAAATGATCCAGGTGTCACTTCTGATTTTCAGTGTGTGTGTCACCAACACTATTCCTGGCCAGAGTATTTGGGGTACTCTAAATCAGAGATGAAGCAATCAATCAGTATTCACCCTGATAGGTTTGACACAAAGGCCATCAGAAGCCCAAACTTAGATTTTATGTCACTTTTAAGTCCTTTTCTCTCCGCAGTCACTAAAGCCTTCCAACATGACTTCATGAGCACCTCTCTATTTCTTTGTGTATATTTTTATTCAGGCACACATATCGTTGTATTTTCCTTAGTCATATCTATCTCCTAGCCTAGTGTATTAGTGTCCTAGGGCTGCTACACAAAGCACCACAAACTGGGTGGCTTAAAATAACAGAGATTTATTGCCTTGCAGTTCTTGAGATTAGAAGTCTGAACTCAAGGTGTCGGCAGGGCTGTGCTCTTTCCAACCCTGTAGGAGCATCCTCCCTCGCCTCCTCCTGTCTTCTGGGGGTTTGCTGATGGTCTTTGGCATCCCTGGCTTGTTAGATGCATCTCTCTAGTCGTCTCTTTACACAGCATCCTCCCTGTGTGTGTGTATCTCTGTCCAATTTTCTCCTTTTCATAATGACACAAACCATGTTGGATTAGAACCCACCATAATGACCTCATTGTAATCTGGTAAAGTCTGCAAAGACTCTATTTGCAAATGAAGTCGTGTTTTGAGGTACTGGAGGTTAGGACATTAGCACATCTTTTTGGAGATACACAACTCAACTTGTAACACCTAGAATCAAGTGTTCCATTTGAGAAGTAACTCACTAATAACCCATTGTGCCAGATAATGGAAACATTAGAAATAAGCAATTTGATGACAGACTTAATGCAACTGACCCTTGAACACCACGGGTTTAAACTGAAGAGGTCCACTTATACACTGATTTTTTTTTTTGCCACTGTAAATGTATTTTCTCTTCCTTATTATTTAATATTTTTTCTTTAGCTTACTTTAATAATACAGTATATAATACACATCACATACAAAACATGTATGTTTAATCAACTGTTTATGTTATTAGGAAGTCTTTCTGGTCAACAGTAGGCTATTAGTAGTAAAGTTTTGGGGGATCAAAAATTAGACTACATGGGGGTCGATATCCAAACAACCATGCTATTCAAGGGTCAACTATATCTTCATTTTTAATTCCCAAGTATAGTAAGTAGCACAAAGTTGGTGTATTAGAGAAGTTTACTGATTGCATTAAGAACGGGTAAAGGAAGGAATGAATAATTCCAATGTTGAGATCCTAAACTCAGACCCCATAGGATGTCTTCCCCTTCCTGAGTTTGGTACCAGTTCTCAAAGGGGTCAACGCACAAAAGTGCTGAAGAAGCAGGGGAAGAATCATTGTCCTGGTTCCTTGCTCAGGATGACTTCTGGTTCTGGTAGAGGTACCAGTGGTGACCATCTCACAGCACTAAATCATCATAGCTACTCATCATTATCCGAAGCTTATTGTGAGCCTAGCATTGTGCTAAGTACCTACCATTTATTATCTCATTTTATCCTTACAATAATTCTAGATAGGAGAAAATATTATTATTATTTTTAAAATTATTATTATCTCCTTTCTTCTGATGAACTCCAAGGCAGGAATCTGGGGTGGCAGCAACTACATTCTTTGGAGCAGAAACACTGCCCCTCTCACCTAGACCATTGGCACAGTAACTTGAACTGATCTGTTGTCATTTTTGCCCCCAGCTCAGGCCTCACAACTTCCTCTTTAAATCCTCTTTAAAATCTTCAGCTGCCAGCATGTCAATAGGCTGTGAAATCCTGACCCAATTTTTTGGACGACTTAAGCCCCTGCCAGAGGTGGCATGCTGGCGACACTAACTTCTCTCTTCTTCCCCATAGTCACCATGTAACTTGGGAGCTAATATCAACTGTTAGAACCTCACTGTGTCATCTAACTAGATAATTAGATGGCAAGTCCATCTACGGTGAGAAGTTTGATGACGAGAACTTCATCCTGAAGCACATAGGTCCTGACATCCTGTCCATGGCCAACGCTGGACCCAACACGAACGGCTCCCAGTTCTTCATCTGCACTGCCAAGACCGAGTGGTTGGATGGCAAGCACGTGGTCTTTGGCAAGGTCAAAGAGGGCATGAACATCGTGGAGGCCATGGAGCGCTTCGGGTCCAGGAACGGCAAGACCAGCAAGAAGATCACCATTGCTGACTGTGGACAGATCTGATCAGTCTGACTCGTGTTTTATCTTAACTACCTGACCATTCCTTCTGTAGCTCAGGAGCGCGCCCCTCTACCCCTGCCTACTCGAACTATCCCACAATCTCTGCTCACTGCAGTTCTATGGGTTCCATGGTTCCTTACCCCCAGGCCTAGCTGGATCTCAGAGTTCAGTTTATGATGAAATAAAACCTAAACCATGAAATATGAAAGGGGCATATCCAGGTCCATCTTCACTTTTGAAAAGGAGGAAATCAAGATTTTGAGAGTTATGTAGCCAGACTGAGGTTGATAGTGCCAGGACTGGAATGTAAGTACCCTGAATATCTTGCCAAGTCCTCCCCAAAATGAAATGTTAAGACATCTCATGTTTCATCTAACTTGATCCACAAGCAGAATCAGAGGAGCTAGTATTGTTAAATCAGGGCAGCATGCCTCCCCATCAATGAATCAATCAATATCTTTTGATTGCCTATTTGTACAGGGCACTTTGTCAGATGTTGTAGAGCATGCCAACATCAATTAGACATTTCCATCCCTGGAAACTGACTCTCCCAATTACAATTCTGGGCTGGAGGCTGGAGCAGTTCCCAGGATTAAATACGATCCATCATCATAGTCCGTATAATCCAGAATCCTTTCAGAGGACTGGCCTAAACTAGGCCACCTGATGGGTGTCTTTCTGCTTGCCCCAGTCTGGGGTTTGTGTAGGCAATGAAAAAAGCACAGGCCTTGGGGCTGGGACTGGGTGTGATTTTAGAGAACCTTCACTTGCCGCATATATAAGTTAATCCTTTTCTCATCTCTGAAAGTAATGATGTAAGATGGTGGGGCCCCTGAGTGAGATAATGATGCAAAAGGGCTGGCACTCAAGAGGTATTCACCAAAGGGCAGCTGCAGGATCATTACTGTTATTTGCAATAGGGTCCAAATTGGATCATAGGTCCGGATCTGAAACATACAGGTCTTTGGAGGCCGTCAGAATAAAAGGGATCCTCAGGCTTGCAGAGGCTTGAAAACAGACTAGTGGCTGCTTCTCTGGCTAGCAGAAGCAAAGAGCAAAATCTGTTTCCCTCTATGTTCACGGCAGAGAGAACACTTTGGTGGCCTTACACTTTGGTGGCAAGTTGTATTAGGAGGGATCTGTCCCCTTAAGGTTCAAAAAGAGACCTCCTTGCCTCTGGGGTGGGTCCAGCTGTCACTACTTGCTGTGGTCAGTGTTCGTCTCCCCACTACAGAGGGGCACCTGGCAGGCTCAGTAGGTAGAATGTGCCACTCGTGTGTTTGAGCCCTGTGTTGGGCCTAGAGCTTACTTTAAAAAAGAGAGAGAGAAAAAGAAGAGGAGGATCATGGAAATATTTGAGATTCAGAGAAAAAGAGCACGCTAGTTGAATTGTTGGAATGTGTCACTGTGATGGTTAAGTCTGTGTGTCAACTTGGTGGGACCAGATATTTGGTTAAATGTTATCTTTCTATGTATCTCTGACGGTGTTTCTGGATGAAGTTAATACTTGAGTCATCGTCTAAGTAGAGTGGATTGCCCTCGCCAGTGAAAGTGGGCTTCGTCCAATTCTTTGGAGGACTGAATAGAATAAAAGACCGAGTAAGAAAGAATTCTTTCTCTTGCTTGACTATCTTTGAGTTAGGACATTAGTCTTCTGTCTTCGGACTCAGACGTGGACTAGAATTAATGACACCATCAGCTCTCCTGGATCTCCAACTTCCCGACTTGGCACTTTTCAGCCTCCATCATCGCACAACATAATTCCTTATAGTCAGTCTTTCTCTCTTTCCCTTATCTCCCTCTAATTGTTCTGCTTCTCTGGAGAATTCAGACTAATATAGTCACCTGTGAAAAATGGTAGAAACGATACCTACCTACTGATAGGAAACAAACAACAGGTGGACTTGCCTGTCAGGCAGAGAAGGGGAAAGGGTATGCGCAGCGAGCAGTTACGCACCAGGTGGCATGTGGTACGCATGGGTATACGTGTCACAGGCTAGCCAGGAGAAAGAGACCTGTCAGCAAGGGTGATTAAGACTGCAACCAGATAACAAGGGTGGATGAGGGACCCTGCTCTGGTAGGACGTGGAAAATAGGCTGAACAGCTACTTTTCTTGAAACCTGGGGGGGATCTTGCCTGGAGGTAGAATTCGGGCTGAATCACTTCATAAATTTCCTTCTGATAGCACGATGAGTTTATCGGACTATTCAGAAGTCCAGAGGAATTTCTAGAAATTAGACCTAGGTGGAATTTAATATAATTAAGTTCCAAAAGAAGGAAACACTCATATAAATAATAATCTTGGGCTCAGGCAAATTATTATGACTGACCTTGATGCTTCTACGCTTATAAATGATTATGTGCATTGCTCAAGCCACATAAATGCTCAGCTCTACTATTTTTAAAAAACATGCTCTTTGTGACTTACGTTTCACTTTTCAGGATATCTCATGGGGGAAGAGAACTTATACTGAATTCGTTTCCCTCATGGAGAGGCAGGGTTAGCATTTCCCTTGGTCTTCTAGAATTTGCATAGAATGACAAGGCTGAGGATAAGAAATACCCTTCGCATAGCAATTTTCAAGTTCTACTTGTAGGACAGTAGGGTTGTATTTTAAATTTTTCTAATAGACTAGCTCTCCTAACCACCTTTGTCCATTATTCTATTCATGCAATCCATCATCAATGAATATATGAATATTTATGTGTAGCTCTAATATGTATAGCACTTTAGCAGGCAAGGCAATCCCCTGAAAGACCACTGCAGTGCCCTGTGAATGAATTTCAGTGGGTTCTCGTGACACTCTTCCAGGCCACCTTTTACCTGATTAATTGGAATTATAACATTACCTGGCAAGCAATAGTGGGGAAACAAAACACAGGACAGACTAACAAGACAGAGAGTTAGAGACGCAGGTAGGACCCAGAATTCCAACTGCCATAACCAAGTGATGTTTGCAGACCTGGCTCAGTGGAGAGGAGAGTCAAGAAGGGAGGCGTACAGTGAACTCAGCCTTGCGACTGACTGGCCATTCCAGGAAGTTCTCAGAACTTTTTTGTTTTCATTTCCTATGTGAATGTACATGTACAAACTTAACCTTGCCACAACCCCCAAAGTCTAAGATTTGTGCTTCCTAACATTTTATGTGCTTTTATTATGCTTCCCAGAATTATCTCTTTTGTCAAGAGTTGCGTGAGTACACCACAAAGAGGTTATACATGTACCCTCTGTCCCACCTTGCCCCTCCAATGCTGAAGAACAAGACGGAAGTCCAGATGACTTAATTAGGGTAGGTTCAGTAAGGAGAGGGGGCCTAATGAATTATTCCCCTTTCCCATCCATGGTCAGAACTAATGAAGAAATAAATGAGGGAGTCTGGCAGGTCAAGAACAAATAGTCAACTTCATGCCTGATGAAGCTCTAGAGAACAATGCTTAGATATGTGAGCACTGTTGGATTTTTAGAACGTAGTCTAGAATTTAGCTAAGCTCAACCCCAGTACTGGTATAGGAGCGCATGGCTTTGCTGTACTACAGAGAACAGCTGACTGTACCCATCTTACAGAGGAAAAGAATTCTAAAAAGGCCTCAACAGGGATGGAAACACATGGGCCTTCTTCTCCACTGTCGCTCACCAATCCCGCACATTCTGGTTAGCTATGCTTCCTTCCCTTGAGCAGTGGAAATGAAATGGTGAAGAGAGTCCAGGAGCGTATTTCTAAACTAGAGTTCTCAAGTGTGACCCAAACACCAGCAACAACAGCAGCATCTGAGAACCTATGAGAAAGGCGAATTCTGAGCCCAGTATAGAGGCCTAACAATCCGTGTTTGCAGGCTTTCCTGTAATTCTGATGCTCCTGAATGTTTGAGAACCACTACTCCATAGGGTAATTCTCAACACAGAACCACCTGAGGCATTTTTTTAAAGATTTATTTATGTGGGAGGGTGGGGGAGGGGAGATGAGAGAGCAGGGGAAAGAAGGGCAGAAGGAGAGAGAGAACCTTAAGGAGATTCTGTGATGAGTGGGGAGCCTAACACAAGGCTTGATCTCACATCCTTGCATTCACAACCTGAGCTGAAACCAAGAGACAGATGCCCAACCAACTGTGCTACCCAGGCAACCCCTGAAGCATTTTTTAAACGTCGGGCTGTCCAGGCCTTCCCCCAGACCAAATAAACTAAAGTCTCTCAGGTGGGGCTAGGTATGAGTATTTTTAATACTTTTTGTGGTGACTGAATATGAGGGCTTTGTGTACATAGCAGATGTTTAAAACTAACACTTTCATGGACACATTTGTGAATTTAGGGAGACCTTCCTCTACCCACCCACCCACATTGCTCAGGATCTCCCTCCTATAGTTCTCTAGAATGGTAGTCCTCAACTCAGGGCGATTTTGTCCCACAAGGAATATTTGGCAAAGTCTGGAAACAGTTTTGATTGACACAACTGGGAAAGGGCATGTAACTGGCATTTAGTGGGAAGAAGCCGGGGATGCCAATAATACCTCACAATGCACAGGAAACTCCTCACAAGAAAGAATTACCCTGCAATCATGGCAGCAGTGCCAAGGCTGAGAAACCCTGCTTGGTGGCATATATTTCTGAACCTACAATATAGCTGTATATACCAAGGTTTTTATGTAATAAAACTATATTTTAGAACCAGTTATAAAACCGTCTCCTATAAACCAGACTGCTTTTTCTCCTCCCCATTTCAGGAGAATGAGGAAGATTATGGATTCTTGATCTACATTTCTTCAAGGTACTTCCTTTATGATTCCATTTGAGTATGGATGTCTACATTACAGGCTGATGAAGGCAGTCCACCATAATTTGTTTTCTGAGAACACTCAGCACAGTGTCCCATGTAGACAGGCACTTGAAGGATGCTATTTGATGATGACTGAATTAGCTTTTCCTAGTTAGGAAATGCAACTTCTTAAATTCAAGGACCACCTTATCTCAAATTAATACACTTTCAAAAGTATTTTATTATGTGCAACCTTTGTATCCTACAGCTCTATAGCTCTGTAGCTAACATTTCGTGCCCTATCTCTGGAATTCTAAAGCAGCTCTCTGTCAAGTAT